GGTTAATGTTTCACAACCGAAACTCGTGAACACGACTCTCAAAACCATGTGCTCACAACCCACCATTATCAAGTTTTAGTTGGCCAGTAATTAATTAACCTAATCACGATTGACCATCGTGAACGATCATTAAGCCATCATTAAATAATAGTGAGTCATAAGTTATCCCAATAGTGCGCTAATGTTTCTAAGCATGGCTAAGCAATCATATCTAATATCTAGCTGAACCAATATATATAGCCCAACTAGTCAAGTTATAATAACCCAAGGTATCAAGGAATAAAGTAATCAAGATCAAAAAGGGCTATAACAAACAATAGGTTAATTCCACCCAATGACATTCGAAAATAAATGCAATATTTGAATAGAAACAATAGCTTTAAACGGGATCAACATGCTCAAAGGGTTGTTTGGGATCTGTGTGACTTGCCTTGCTGGCCTTGGAACTCTTCAAATTCTTCTCCTGCAAAAACGGACTCTCCGGAAACGTCGGAATCTAAACAGAAAAGAGCAAAATCACCAAAACAGCACATAAACAAGCATGAACAGTACATGTGGATATTTTTAACAGGTAGATCTTAATTTTAGAAAAATTTAGAGACTTGAACTAACTAAATCCGAGCTAAGATGAATTAGTAATGAATTTTTAAAGATTAAATCGGATTAAAACACTTATATGGATTTTAATTGAATTATGACGCAATAATGAATTATTTTTGAAAAGGAAAAGGGGTTTATTGCGTCAGCGGCTAGGGTTTGCGGTGGACCGGGCGCACGGCAGCGGTTCACGGGAACGAACGGCCGAGATCGATCCATCCAAAACGGACGGCCGAGATCGATCGGGTCTACGGCGGCTCACGGCAGACGGACCCTGATGACGTCAGTGGTGACGTCATCTCCGGCGGCGGCTCGGGCGCGCAAACTCGCCGGCGAACGACGGCGCGAGGACGCGAACGGAGGGCACCATCACGTAGAGAGCGACGCGGCGAACTCACCGATGACCAAAACGGCGGCGGAAGATGAACGGACGGCAGCGGCGTCGAGGAAAAGGCGGCGGAGAAGATCGGGCCGACGGCGGCGACGGTGCTCCGGCGGTTGACAGCGACGGCGAAGGGGCAGACGAGGACGGCGGCGACTTGGTGACCATGATGGCGATCTTCCCGAGCGACGACGACGACCGGAACGGCGGCGGCGCACGGCTGGAGCGGCGGCGACGATGGCGGCGCTAGGTCACACGACGCTAGGGCTCTTCCGACGGCGAGAGACGAAGGCGAGGGTGGCGACGGGTAGCGGTGGGCTTGGGGATCCTTTTATAGGGGTTGGAGGGCGACGGCGAAGGCCCACGGCGACCGGCGACGCGAAGGAAACATTGGGGTTCGGAGGAAAGAGACCGATCCGATTCGACCTCGAATCCACGAATTTCCAAAGCGATTTAGATGATGATTCCAAAAGAGAAAAGGTAGAGGAGATCCCGAAGATCATTTCCCCTCTATTGATTTCACCGGATCGGGAAAGGAGCGGCCGGATTTGGAAGGAGACGACGGCGGCGCCCGTCGTCGTCGTCAAGGCGGCGGACATCGTCGAGGCAGCGGACATCGTCGTCGTCTCCGCGGCGAACGTCCCCGCCGCCAGCTGCCTCCTCACCGCCATCCACCACCACCCGCTCCACCCCTCGCCGCTACCCCTCGCCACGTTGCTCCTGGGCCACCTCCTCTTGTGCCGCCGCGCTTGTGAGGCCACCTCCATCGTCCGTTGGCTCTGCCGCCCGGACTCGCCCTGGCGGCCCAACAGTGCCACCTTCACCTTCACCATCACGGCGGGCGGGCTTGACGGCGACGATGGTGACCGGCGAGGCGGCGGTGAGCGGGCCCACCCAGATCCGACGAGTTGTAGTGGTCAGTTGCGTGTGGGCCAGCGATTTTTGTTTTTTTTTTATTTTTGGTTTTTTTGGTATAACTTGACCACATAGGATAATCGATTATCCCGTGCGGTCCACTTAAGTGAACCACAAGGGAAAATGATTATCCCGTGCGGTTAGGCCGCCCGCACGCGAAAATCGTGTAGTAGTGCGATGTCTATAATATACTGCACCTAAAAACCGAGACAACAGAGCGTAAGTCGCCATTTTAGCCGGTCGCCTCCCCTCCCAACCCACAGTCGATATCCTTATCCACACTCCATATCCTTCTCCTTTCCCATCCCTCTCTCCTTCCTCTTCCACATCCTTCGCCTCCTTTCATGTCCTCCCATTGAGGAGACCCTCCAAACCCCTTTCCTATAGGTGCGGGCCAAGGGTGTGGCATTGCCTTCCCCTTCTCCTCGCTGTCATGGTTGCTGTGCCTGCACTACGTGGTTCAGCACTATGTGTGGGGCTGACACGGGGAGGCCTCCCTGTCGCATGCCTCTCTGGATCTAGCGGCTTAGTGTCCTCCGCCAGATCCATGCATCTTCAACAGCATCAACGACATAAAGAGCATGGCCGACAGCGAGTCATGTTGGTGTCAATCGAACTCGGAGGGCTTGACGCATCAGCTTGATTCAATTGTATGCAATTGAGATCTTGGCGGTGACCTTATTCTTGGATGTTAGTGTCAGTCGAATTTTTTTGGGGGGCGGGGGCGGGGGGGGGGGGCCTCGATGGTTCAACTCGATTCAAGCCTATATTTTTATTCGTGGAACATTAAATGTGTCAGTTTAGAACTTTTCTTTTTTTTTATTCGTGAAACATAAAAAAAAAACTCTAAACTGACACCTTTGACTCTTCTCATCAAGTACCGTCAATGGGGTGACAGTTGAGAAATTCGGTAATACCTATAAGAAATTTCCAACCAATACCAAGGTCCTTTCCTGTATAGCAGTGTCTGGAAGCGCTCCCCTACAATACATATGAAAATCCAATAAAATGGTTAATTCTTTGACAAGATCATGCGCGCGCACCTATAATCGAAGTAGTTGTTGTCTTTAAAGATCCTCACAACCCAGTTGAAATCACGCATTTGACAGCTTAATTTACTCTGTTGTTTCCCATAGTCAAAAGTTTAGCCAAACTTTATCAGCCAATATGCAGATTAGCAAGTTAACGACAAAATGGAGATAACATGCATCCTTAAATATATACTCCCTCCGTTTTACAATGACTAACGGTAGGCACTATTCACGTTTAAATTTCAACTACTCATGTTTTTTATTAAATATTTACAGACCCTAAATGATGCTGTGTTAGTAAAGTAGGATATGTCCTAAAATAAAAACATAACACTTTTGTTCACTTTGATCTAACAATTTAAGCATGATTATGATCAAAGCTTAAATGAGAGGTAGCATTTTTTTCTATCATACCACAACAAGATATTATTTGCCCCGAGAAGCAGGTGCAATAGAAATTTCCAGAAAGTTACTCAATGGTGAGAGCTAGTTAATATGGTTACCCCACCATAAATTGCCTGGCCAAGGTGGAGAATCCACAGGCTAAATAACCACTGCGCACTGACAAATGGAAATTCGTTTATGGACAAAAAATAAATAAATAGACAAATAATTAATTGGTTTACACATCTTTATCGAACCATGTACATGATCTGTGCCTATAAATAACATATATATCATCAGCACCTCTCAAGTCTTAACCCAAAACAAGAGAACCATTAGTCAAACCAAATTACCAACAAAGTACACCTCTCCCTTGCTAGGGTTTGTTCCCTCTCCCAATCTCCAAAGTGTCATTTCACATTGACTTCATTCTTCTTCCCAGATCCCCCAATTTCTCCCTTTCACCATGAAGCTTCTCCCTCTTCTCATCCTCGCAATGGTCATGGCCAACGCCTTCGGCGCCGTCACTTCTCGCACGGCGCCGGGGGAGGAGGCGCTGCTGGCGCACGGCGTGGTGAAGACGACGACGGCGGAGGGGACGTCCATCGACAACCACCACGCGATACCGCGGCCGGAGTACGACAGCTGGAGCAGCCCGGGGAACATGCCGGGGAGTGGCCATGACATTGGGAGCGAACAAGCTCAGCCATGATCGAGCTAGATGCAGCTTACCCAGCTCTACCCATGTCCTGTACGTATATACATAGCAAGCTTGCAAGCCATGGGTTATACACTTATTACGTACGCTTGATTGCATGTAGCTAGTATCCATATATGTACGGTTGTGGCTCTAGTTGTGGTTGCATGATAATTCGAAGATGCTTTGTAGTTTCTACAGTGATTGTATATTTGTATTGCTCATGTAAAAGTGTTTAACTGTATTTAACCTCATCACGTGTACTAATGTTAATTAATTAAATACTGAATAAAATTTATACGTCCCTACATGAAGGGAGAGTTCTTGTTTTCTCATTTGGGGAGTTCTTCGTGGTGATCGATCGATTTAGTTATGTTAGTAGAGCCATACTGTTGCTACTTGTGAACTTGAATGATCTAATTATAAATAATTAAATACAAATAAAGCATGCAATTATTAGACAGTTGATGGATCAATTAGTTATATTGCTGCTTCACGCCATAGCATCTACTGATTTGCGCCCTTCTACATTACAATATTATACCGTACACAGATAAAAATTATGATGACCAATTTGTAGTTCCATGCCTCTTTTTTTTTTGCATCAATTCCAAATATGCTTGGATAAATATTTACATTTCACATTAAGGACAAATTATTTTTATCGAGGAAAGAACAGCTGAGGGAAGTGCTCCCCCTCCGGTAGTGGACTAAATTTTCATCGTTTCATGATCTAAGGGGATGTTTAGATCCAGGGGTGTAAAGTTTTGGCGTACCACATCGGGTATTATACAGGGTGTCGTATGTGGTGTTCGGGCACTAATAAAAAAATAATTACAGAATCCGTCAGTAAACCACGAGACGAATTTATTAAGTCTAATTAATCCATTATTAGCAAATATTTACTGTAGCACCACATTGTCAAATTATGGAGCAATTTGGATTAAAAGATTCGTCTCGTAAATTAGTCACAATCTGTACAATTAGTTATATTTTTAGCCTATATTTAATACTTCATGCAAGTGTTCAAACGTTCGATGTGACAAAGTGAAAAATTTTAGGGTGGGATCTAAACAGGACCTAAATCTCGATCTTATTGCTGCTTCTGTGATAAGAAAGTTCATATAGTGCCAGCAGACCATTGGGAAGGGATGGGGCCTTCTAATGCGATGCCCCCTCCGTACACAAATATAGCAAGAGATAGTATTGGATTATATACATATTAATACTACGAATCTACATGAGTAGCAAATATTCAAGAGTTGTGACTCTGTTCATTTTGACTATCAAGCATACACATGGTATATTTGTAATAATCAACAGGTGGTGTAAAAATTAATATATAAATTGTTGCATTTTAATATAACATTAAGCAAACGCATAACATTATAATAGCAATGCTGTGAAATTTTCTGAATTAATTACTAATATTGTAGTTCGGTATGCATATATTTACAGTTGTCTATCTACCTAAAAACCATGAATTATACAAGATAGACATTTACTAACGATGAATATATGTACATGAAGCACAAATGTGGAGTATAAAACAGCCATAATTCTCAAAAAAAAAAAAGCCATTCTTACCTTAGTGAATAAACAAATTAATGATTCGCTTGCAATTAATGGATCCGCAATTCGCAGTTTGATTATGGCATGATATATATGCATATTCTTTCGGTCATTTATTCAAAAAAACTTGTTCGCAAAATCATCAGTAGTTTTGTTTTTCCAGTAGTGTCCAAATAAAAAAAATGATAGAAATTAGTTTGTCCAGAGACAACGCCACTTACCTAACTGAAAGGACCCCACTTGCGATAAGTTGAATTATTATATGGTGAGATATATATTAGCCAATAAGTGATGTGTCATTTTAGGGGTACAGTAAACCTTATATCTCTAATCTATAATATTAATTAATTAGATAACTTTGTAATTAACCACGTATATATATTTTTTACTGGTTAAGTGTTTAGTGGATGCTTAACATTTCTGCATTTACCTCTATATGCTTAGATGTTAGATCAACTGACCATGACACATTCAGTGGCCGATTGAAACGGTCGGGTTAAAGTTTAGGCACTGATATTCCCCACCAGTAAATAAAATATTAAGTTATTGCTAAGCAAAGCATAAACCACTAACTTAGTGGGAAATACTATCGCTAGTGTAGGATGATTTCTGCATAATTTATTATTTCAACGACAAAGATTGGGCCACGTAGTCAAACGAAATCTTTAAAATTACGATATTATGACTTATTTTATTTTAACTTGCCACAGTAAAAAGATGAAAATTTGGGTGTCATTTTGCACTAACTAGATTCTACTGGTCCAACAGAACAAAAGGAGAACCTTTAATTTTACATCCCACATGAATGTTTTTCTATACTAGTGTAGCATTCACGAGCCATTTTTTTGTAAGCTTTTCTCACTATATAAAGTGTAGCTGACCGAACCCGTAGCCTTCACTACACAGTTGAATCCGAACGAATTCTTCCTCTCCTACAGTAGTAGAGATTTTTCCAGGTTTGACTCGATCCTGTTCTTGTTAATTAGTTCTTGCTTGCTTGATTACGATCAAGTTTCAAATGTCTAATTAAACATTTTTTATCCCTGTAATTTCTCTCTCTCTCTCTCAGGCAGCTATAGGTTTGATCACCATGAAGGAGAAACTGAAGGCGAGGTTTCAGATCATCGCCGTCTTGCTCGCCTTCGCCATGGTAGCTCAAGCTATGGCGATTCGCGGCACGGGTACGACGGCGGAGCAGGATAACACCGGAGGGAGCACGAGTGCGAAACATACCCTGCCTCAGGCTGTTGGAAGTGGCACCTCTGTGGACAACCACCATGCCATCCCTCGTGATCAGTACAGCAACCATGGGGGTGATGATGGAGGTGGCAGTACTGGTACTGGTGATACAAACAACTAGTGAGTTGATGATCATGGATGTGTGGAGATTAATTTCTGAGCTTGATGTGAGGGGAGATTTAAATATATATGTTGTGTTAATTAAGGTACTAAGTACTGGTTGTGATGTTGTTTTGATATCAGTAGCCCTAATCCTGAGAATAAGCTGCTTCTCTTCATGGGGATAGAGGAGAGCTTCTAAATATCAATGTATGCAATATTTCTGTTGTGTGCCATAAGCTGTTTACTCTTATGACAAATTAATTAAATCTATTGTCCAGAAAACGACCAGCTTAGTTCATATGTGCTTCCAAATTAGTATTTCGTCGTGTTGTCTTGATGTATTTCCAAATTAGTTCATATATATGTGCTTCCAAATTAGTATTTCCCAATTAGTATCATCACCTAACAAGTAACTACAAACAAAGGCTTGTAAACTTATAGTCGACACTAAGAAAATACATCATTTCCACAACATAATTTCCTGATACCCTAGACCATCAATGTACCCTTTCCCTTACTTTCACTTAATCTTGTATCAGAAAAAATTCACCCTATCGACGAAACTCTTGTACTTATTGCATGCTCTGGTATTACTTTCTGCATTGGGATCTCCATTGAAATTTGCCTTTGTTATCTATTGGAAGCAATCTGGCAAAGGATGTGGGTGTAGGGATCGAGAGGGGGATGACAAGCCATGATGATGGGAAGATTGGTTGCTCGTCGACTCAACTGTTGTGTTGTTGAGAGCTGCAGAGCTCCATGTGGCCGTGAGACTGAGGAGGGAGGAAGAAATAAGTTAGTGCAATTGAGTGGTGGTAACTGGCAAGGCATTATAAATGGAAGGGAGAAGTGATGGGAGGGGTAATGTCATGGGAAACTATTTTGATCCCTCGTGAGGATGTCCCCTTATTGTTTGCATGTTATTCCAATGGTTATAAAAATATTTGAGAAGATGTAATAACATGTGATATATCACTCCACAAATATGCAAGGTTAAATTCAACTTCTATATATCAGAACGAAAAAAACAAATTAAACTATAGCGAGTTAACGCATATTTACAGTCAAATTTGTTTTTTTCGTTGCAAAAGATAGAAGTTGAATTTGAACTTGCATGTTTGTAGAGTGATATATCACATATTAATATATCTTCTCAATTGTTTTCAACTTTTTTCGTAACTATTTGAGTGACATGCAAACAACGAGGGGATATCCCCTCGAGGGATCAAAATCCACTCCTGTGATGTCATTAGAGAAACAAGGGGAGGTGAGAGTGGAACTATATTTGAAGAAGTTAGCTTGTACTTATTTCCCTAGTTTTGTTGATTGGTTTAATTCAAAACAGAGCGTACATTTTTTAAAAAAGAATGAAGTTTGATGTTCTTCCCTATGTATTTATAAATCTTACTTCGCATTTGGACAAGGAGGTTTTATTTAATCAGCGCATTTGGATATGGAGTTTTTATATTTCTCAGACACATAGAAGGCAATATATGGTACGTGGGCCTCTCTTGGGCTCATAACAACATGCACCACACACTACTACATAAAAAGCAACCACAATGTGGTATAAAAGCAGGTCGTAAGCAATACAATAACTTTACTATCTAGCAACAAACATTTTGGAAGCTAGCAACAACAATTACCACGTAGTATGGCTACTACCAGCAATAAGCAACTAAACTGTATTATTAGTACAGTGAACAGTGTAGGTGCAGGGTGTGGGAGGCTAGGGATTGGTCTTCTTTTCTCTTGTGGGGCCTACCTTATGTTTCCCTTTTGCATTCACACATTGTGGCATATGTATTAGCTACTACCCAGTAATTTTTGGGCCCACCTTATTATCAAGTTTAACAATAAGCATTCTGTTGCCCTAAACAATCAATAGCGCCGGTTTTTAACAGGCATCATCTGGACGGTCTAGGGACCAGCACTACGAAAACATGCATACAGTATCGTCCCTAGCAACTTAAGGCCCTGGTGCAAATGTAAAATAGGCCATACAGTTGCAAAATGCAGCAGGTGCAGGCATGCGGCACGTGGCACCACTGCAATGGCACTATGGACGGCTAGCAGATAACGGTGGCATTGCAGCATGACGACAACGTGTGTGTTTTGCCTTATAGCTTCTCCGACGCGATTTGCTTTTGTCTGGGTTTCATGATACTACACTTCCTAGACCGAGCAAAACCTACATGAAGGAGAGGGACGATTAGACATCGAATGAGATCATGGACTTTCTATTGGGCTTAGATGGATTTTTCTCTGACTGATTGGTAAGTTTAGTACTTGAAGAAATTTTTAGACTTTGGGACCCCAATATATTGGCGGCCCAGTAGGTAGGCTCAATGGCACTGTGTTTTTTTATCTGAAACAGTGGGTGGACACCAGGCTTAAGTTGAAACCGGTTGCATTTGTTCTCTATTTCGGAGAAATGCCCACAATACGTGTTCGATGATTTGCCCGAGAGCAGTAGGAGGAATGGGCTGGCTTCGGGGTGACCCACTAGAAGTGAGGATTGTTGTGGTGTGGAGAGGTCAAAATGAGTAAGAAGTTAAGTGCGGTTGTTGAATCCTTGTGAAAAGAATGAGGGTGTAATGATGAACACTATGACAGCATATGCATTGGTAGAAGAGTTAGGGTTTTACCGTGGTAAAATGACAAGGTTAGGTGTTTTGTTTCAATTGCAGGTTTTTAATAATTTGATTGATTTAACTGAGGCACCTAGGAGTTGATACAATCATGCAATATAAAACATATCCAAAGCTTAATTTTAATACCCTACTCGGCTAATATTTGAACTTGGCTCATTATCATGTTCTAGTTTGGCCCATATGTGTTGTAGTTTGGTCCCATGTGTCAGATGTGTTCCTGTGGTAAGATTAATTGGAGAGTTTTGTTTGGTTTGAACATACTTGTATGCCCCTGTGTTTCAACCATAGAATTTGTAAATTAACCTTTTACACGAACTAAAGATGAAAATGTAGACCTGCTCCTCACAAAAGAGGTGGGTTAATGTGGTTGCGGATTTTGGGGTGGGGAAATGTGCTACACCTTCAAGCAGCATTTCTACTTCCCTCGTCTCCAAATATATCTAAGCCTATGTTACAAATTTGTCTCACAATACAACTAAATCTGCACCTAACTCCTGAACTCACCCAATCACATACTTGCCCCATTTAGTTTCTTCACCTAGTTTATCATCTCAACCAATCACAACAATTTCTCACCCCAACATTAACTTCATAAAGAAAGCATAATTAGTTATACTTTTGCGATGGAAGGAGTACTATTTACTTGTTGGTGCATGATGTAAACAAATGTTAGTTTTACTGCACGTATCTCCTATTGTACCAAAGATAATAGGAATGTCTAGATGATCAAATACACGTTGAACTAATTCTATTCAAATTCTCTAAATATTTTCTCTACACTCTTTTATCTAAAGTTGGATGGATGGATTGTAATGTCTTACAATGACTTATTGTGTTATGATCAGAGGCATCCAGCCCATGTCTAGAAAATCGATGAACACAAGGAAAAATCAACTTAAGGAAGCCAATAGTATCGGAGCACATGAGTACAAATGGTTATTGCGCAATACACCTGTTCATCTAGTCTATTTCGGCCCGTGTATGTCCTAGTTCCGGTTTGGGTACGCTAGGCCAAGTGTTCAGTAATTTAGGCCGGCCGGTTAGCACTTTTTCGCAAAACGAACAAAAGTATAAGAGGATGTGCTATCTGAATATGGGCCTACTTAACGTGTAGGGTAAACTAATGCGAATTTGGAGGCTAGGGTGTTATGGTTATTTTGATGAAACATAAGTACTTATGATTATTGAAATTCTTTTAACTCAAATACTCAATTCACTACATAAAAAATAACTTCATAGGGACCGGCTATATAGGTGCCGGTTTGACAAAAACCAACACCTATAAGACATTTCCCGTCCACCATTTCAATAACCGGCACCTAAGTCTTTGGGACAGGCATACTGGTGCCAGTTTTACTTAAAAAACTGGCCTTATAGGTGCCAGTTCTCTGGGACAGGCACACTAGTACCAGTTTTACTTAAAAAACCAAAGTCCCTCCTGCCAACGTTCCAGAAATAATACAGGCGACAATCGTTCACTAAAAACCGGCACATATGTAATAGGTGCAAGTTCTTAATTAGAACCAGCACCTATTATCTTTGTGACGTGTCCGGGTCGAGACAATAGGTGCCGGTTCATAGTAATAGGTGCCGGTTCTCATTACGAACCGGCACCTATTACATTTTAACATGGCTCGGGTTATAGGTGCCGACTTTTCATATAACTTTTTCATACAATCATATTAATATACACTTTATATCAAATCTGTAGAGCTCGATGAGATCTACAACTTTGTAGTTGGTAACCTTTTGATTTAAGGTCGTTTGAGTGTCCGAAAATGTGTTATAATGTGTCGAATCTATTTGCGTAAGTGAATATTTAAAATTTGTAAACAGTCTCGGATCGAGACAAAGCATATATAAAAGTTGTAGATCTAGATGAGATCTTCAATTTTTTAGTTGATGAAAATTTCATTTGTGCTCATCTATGGTGTTAAATATGGATTATAAGTTAGGACAACAATGTCTCAAAAGATTAGCATTTGTTTCCAAGACAACAAATTTTCGTAGGTGAGATGGTAAGGAGGCTTTAGATGGAGTTCGAAATTTTGAGTTTGAAACTTGCTTGAGGCATAATTATGAATATGGGTTGAAAAAATCATGGGATTTCTGGGAAGTGAAGTGTGACCGTATAGATGCTAAATAAATTGCAAATATTTTTTTCGGGTTTTAATTTGTAGCACCTACATAAATTTCAAATGGGTGCACCCCTATAATTTGTCGGTTATAAATTTAGAATCGGCACCTATAGTATCACATAGGTTTGTAATTAGAACCGATACCTATAGTCACCAATAACCGAGGTTATTGGTGCCGACCAATATGTGTCGGACCTAAAACCGGCACCAATTGGACCATGGTTGTATGTAGTAGTGATTATAGGCAAGATTCAGTAATTAATTACATATATATATATATAATAGTAGTGATTATATATAGCCTAATTGTTTTCTGGACCACTGTTCTTGTCTATCTTGAACCACTGATCACCTAAATCTTTAGAACTTCTAGTGTTTCCATAAGACTACCTTAAATTTAAAAATTAAATTAAACCTCAAATAAATTGTTTGACATATAGATATTTTGCCCACGGCACCGAGATGGCATAGAAGGTAACATTGCAACATGAATGCTCACTGTTGGC